GAGAGAGAGAGAGAGAGAGAGAGAGAGAGAGAGAGACAAAACAAAAAAAGAGACTGTCAAGATTCTTGCTCACCATTTCATCACTCCAGCTATTTACTACCTAGTGGAGGAACTGATCAGAGATAGCCAAGAAACAATGAAGAAGAAATGGGTGAAGGAAAACCTGAAGAGACAAACATCCTAAGTGAAACTGGAAGGCACATCAGAGTTCTGCACTCGATCTAAATAGATTTACAGCTAATTTATATCGAACTTTAACGTAATAAGTAATTTATATATTATTTAAACCATTTCAGCCCACAGAAAAGAATGGAATATTTTTAAACTCATTTTATAAGTGTAATGTAATTCAGTATCAGTACCACCCACGACAGAAGAAAACTACTGAGCTATCTTAAGAGTTAAAACAGATGCAAAAGTTGAAAACATATACTACAACTAATCTAAGAGGAAAGGATATATTACAAATAGATAGCTTTCATGCTAGATATGTGAAAATGGTTCAGCATTACATGATATATTCAATACATTGAATGGTGGATTATATGGTATATAAATTATAGTTTTAAAAATCTATTTTAAAACAACAACAATAAAAGACTAACCAGTAAGTGTTTCTTTTACCCTTAGTATAAGTGATACCTCAGTGTACGCTGTATTTTATATTTTTTATTCTTAATATGATTCCTTATTTTACAAGTTCCTTAATATTTTGCCATGATAAGAAAAAAATTACTTAAATATACAATCAATTTTTTTTCAAATATAACCATCAGGATAACTGATCACAAAAGGAATGTTCTGAAATCAGGAAGCCCTGCTGCTAATGTGTGACTATCCTGATAAATTGCTGTCTCTAAAACGCTGCACATGTAATGCTCAACATTTGCTTTTGTAATATCAAAGAAAAATAGATCAGTGTACATCAGAAAACCTCTCTGTGAAGAAACTGCTAATTGCAGAAGATTACCATACTTTGAAACTAGCCCACAGAAATGGGAAGAAAAGGGGGCTTTTCTCAAAGTACACAGCAGGGCATGAATGGTGCCACCTGTGGGGCACACGCTCACACCACTTTGAGGACTGGAAGCCACTTCCTTAAGGAAGTTCGTAGGGCGCTGAAATATGGACGTGGGAAATATGGCTACATCTCTAGTTCTCGCCTTTTAGCTCAAAGTGCCTCCTTGCAGAGAGGAATGATTAAGATGAAAAGTAAGTAGAATGAGCTGTTCCATCAAGAAGAATCAATTGGGAATCCCTAATATTACTTTTACGTAAAAGGTACCTATATGTAAAAAGAGCAAAAAAGAACTAAAAGTCTTTTCAAAGCTCAACTCTCTATTAAATAAAGAAACTATGATGTTTTGTAAAACGTTATCCAAACTGCCTCTCTAAATTTCAACAGAAGTGACAAGTATATCAAAATGGATTCTTAAGCACCACATTTTTATAATATGTACCTAAAAGAGTCTGTGCCTATTATGCATAAAAGGTCACACACATATTAGGATCGTGGAATACAGGGTTAAATAAAATCACTTTAAAAACAAAAGGGGACCACATATTAGGATCGTGGATTACAGGGTTAAATAAAATCACTTTAAAAACAAAAGGTGACCTACCATTATGTGTTCAAGTAGGGAATCTATAGCGACTATGTTATCAAAATATGTTCTGCAAAAAAGGAATATAAATCTTGTAAGTATTCTTATTGAGATCATAGTACACATTAAACTTTTAACACATTTTCTAGATTAGTCTATATTTAAATAAACATGAAAATATGTGTCCTTTGATTCTTGTCCTTTTGTGGAACAACGTTACCTTCATGAAATAAATTAAACTGTATTATAAGACTCTGATTCTAAATGACACCTTCCGTAATTAACTTGGCAGCAAGAAAGATTGTAGTATTTAATTATGACCATGCAGGACTAAAACTGGGTCCACCACATTTAATATTTCCATGAATAACTTGGATCTGAAATGAAAATGTTTAAATTTTCTAAATCTCAAATATAGTTAAAATGTAAATTATTACTGAAAATTGGAGAAAGTTAATTTAGTTGTAATGAGAAAGCAATGCCACTGGGTATGGTGGCTTTGGGCCTTTAATCCCAGCACTCTGGGAAGCTTAGGCAGGAAGATTGCAAATTCCAAGCACCTCCTGGAAAATTTGGCAGCTTAGTAAGACTGGTCTCAAAATAAAAAAAAATGGCCTCAGATGTATCTCAGTGGGAATGCCTGGGTTTGATCTTCAATTTTTAATTATATATATATGAAAGCAATGTAATTCATTTGAGAAAAAATCAAATTGCAAGTAATAATAAGGATGTAATGAATATATAAATAAAATATACTTACATCATTATGAACAGCAAGTAAATATTTTTGAGATGTATAAAACAAAAACTTAAAGAACACCCAACATAAGCACGACTAGCTACGTAACATTTTAAGTTTATATTCATGTAAATTTAGCAGGGTTATCACAACTAAGATAACTTACAGCAATGAATGGTGACTTTTATTTAAGAGACACATTATTTAGCTTGAAGCCACTGAGACTTAGGACACAATTTACCAAACCATACACTAAGAAATATATTAAATAAAGAAGATGGTGAAGTAAATTAATTTCCTACTGGAGGAAACAACAGAAGGGAATAAAATATAACAGAAGGTATTCAGTTGACTTCTGAATATTTGCAAATATTATACATCAGTCAGAGAAAGTGTATAACTTTCCTTTCCTTGGGTTTTGAAACAATATAATCATATATCCCAGAGATATTGCACTTAATTTGTTTTAAAGGAGAAAGTTGGCACAGGTAAACCAAAAGAGAACTTCTTCAGTTCCACGTTTCTCTAATTTTAGATTTCAGAAAATAGATATAACATTAACTCAGACTACTTATTCATAAGTATTCCAGTAATTCTGATGGGTGAGATTATTAAGTGCCATCATGGCAATATGTAAGTTACAATGCACATTATACTTTTTGGAGGCTGGGGACGAATACGAACATTATTCCTTCAGTAAACTTGTAGGAGGACATGTCCTTGAAGTTGCCATATCCTGGGGCATTTTTTAGGTTTTGATGAATTAGATAGATGAGATATGTAGAAGATCTCTTCTGAATAAGCAGAATTATCTATAAACACTTTCACTACCAGCCCAATAAGCTTTTCTAGATCAAACTTCAGAGAACTGCAATATTGTTTCAAAAAGGTATCTGAGATACTAGACACAGAAACGTTAAAACAATAACATTAATAACACTTAAATTGCCATTTCTAGAAAATGCTAGATAGGACACCTGGAAAAAAATTTTAGTGTGACACTTCCATGCCTATTGCTGTCAATATTCTCCTAGAAAAAGAAGCACTTAGTGTATTCATGTTTTAAGAAAGACTAGTTACAAAATATATCAAATTAAAAAATTAAGATTGTGATGTATATCTGTAATTCTTCACTTAATAAAGATGAATGAGGATATAATTTTATAATATAAAATATGATTAATCATTCTTCCCAGATTACTTATAAAATACAGTTACTGGCTACAGTGGCTGTTAATCCATCACTGTCAGTGCCTGCACCTATCACCACTGATCAATAAGGCATCTCTTGAAATGAGTACTTACTTTGATACATCTAGTAGAAAGTCGTTCAGTTCAGTCTGTTTGGCAAGACCTCTGCATACCTGCCGTATAAAGCAATGGCTATCAGTTATAAGATATTTCCACTTATTTAAAACAAGATTTTCAGAAATACCATTGTAAATAGCAATCACTTGGCTTATAATATAATAATACCAATAACTAAGAATAGTCGAATATTAGATGTACTAAACTTTGTTCTGAACATTGTACAGTTATGATCTCATTTAATTACAACACAACTCTTTATATTTGAGACTTACACTTTATCACTTAGCATAAAGAAGTTGAGAATCTCACTCGGGACCCAGAATTATTAGGTTGTAGAGCCAGGGTGCATATCTCAGTAGACTACCCTCTATTGCCTTTTACAACTACTTTAAAACATTGTTGTTGGGCATAGTCGATACTCTAAGTAGTATTCTTCTGTTCATTCTACATACTACCCTAGGATTCTATTTTTCTATCATCAACATGATTTCCGTTTCCTGAAATGGAACGGGAAAACAAAACAACTGGAGGGAGACAGGAAGGGGGAGGAAAAGGCAGGGAGGAGCAAAGAGCAAGAGAGAACACAAAGATACAAACTGCTACCTTGGTACTGTGTTTCTAAACTTTAAATTCTAGTTACAAGGCAAACTTTAGGTAGTCTGTGATTCTCAATTTATACTATATCTTCATAGTAATGATATGTCTTAAAGTTAGGCTTGATGCTTCATATACCATTAAGTTTGTAGGATAATTTAAATTAGGGAATAGAATCATAAAAATATCAATAAAATTCCCAGTAGGAGATTGTTCCATGTTTTTTAATGCAAGACAAATACTATACTATTATAATTTATTGTATAAATGATGTAAATGAAACGAATGTAAATGGAAGATATTTAAGACAAGGAGTAAGGAAAAATATGAGATTGAATAAATACAAATTTTTAGAAACAGTGAAATAATTTAATTTCAAAATATAAAACATGAATTTCAAAATATAAAGTTATTTATTAACTCATATTCCAGTCCCCAATGCTCAAAGTAATGATCTTTCTAAGGCCCTATAAATCCAGCCCACAGACCCACCTGCACCTGATGTATTGCTACTGAAGCCCAGGCAAGATTTGCTGTTGCAACCTAAAACAAACAAACAATAAAAATATTATATGTCACAAAAATTGTATCAGTCAATGATGAATTTTCTGAGGTCACTGAGCTTTTGAATATTCTGCAGAACGTAAAGTGCCATACATTAACAAAATTTCTCTTTTATATTTTTCTCATAATTATTTAAGTTTAATGTTCTCTTGTTCATCTTAATATTGGATACAATGCAAGATCAATCAGTTAATGGAGATGCTGTTCAATGAGTTTAACACAAAAGTGAATATTATACAGTCTAACAAAAATACTATTTAAAAGTTCTCCAACGACCACTTTAAAATTATATACATGTGTGTGTGTGTGTGTGTGTGTATATCGAGATTCAAAACTTAAACTTCTATACCTGGATGATTTTTATGAAAATCATCATAGAGCATCCTTTTTAACATTGCCTAGTTAGGAAGCAAATTCCTTTTTCATTAACTTTATCTAAAGTATGGAAAGAAAAGGTAACAGTATAATCCCCTCCCCATGTTTGAGTGCTTCAGGCATCCTATCCAACCTCTGCTATCCCAACTTTATTATCTGAGCTCTTTCAATCACTGGGAACTTGAAAAATTATATATTTCTAAGAAGTAAAAGTCATGTGTACATAGTAGCTGACAAGTTTTCAAACTACTATCTGTTCTACCTTTTAAAAAATATTATTCAACAAATACTTGCTGAATGCCAGACAGCGTTCTGTGTGCTGGATCAGTACAAATGCAATAGCACTTCCTGCCCTGATGGGAGAGACCCAGACAGTGACAAAAGGAAGCATCATGTGTAGTGTACTAAGGGGCAACAGGTGCCACAGGGAAAAATAAGCAGGAGAGAGGATAGGGGACACTGGAGCCCTCGAATGGACACAGCATTCAGTGCAGCCTGAAGGTAAGGCAGCCACTTCCATGTCCTGGGGCCCAGTGCAGTGGAGGAAGGGAGGAAAAGGTGGGATCATAGAGATGGGTTCAGGGCCTGACACTTAGCTCAGTGGTGCCACCGCCTGCTTCGCAAGCACAAGGTCCTGAGTTCAATGCCTGGTACCAAAAAAAACCCCAAAAAACAAAAAACAAAAAAACAAAGAGATGGGTTCATTCAGGCAAAGAACAAAGTGAAGCCACCGCAGGGACTTGGTTCGAACTTGATGTGAGAGAGGTAGCATTTTACAGGGTTAGAATTAATGAGCTGACTCTTAATTCAGTGCATACAGAATGTCTTCCTGATAGGATTGACAGTAAAACCTGTTTTCAGCACACACCATAAGAAGAGGACTTTTTAAGGAGACACAAAAACAACCATTAGGTAAAATCTTTCCAAAGTCCTCCTACTGGTTTAGTTGATTTACAGTATGATTTATTTTTATTTGCAAAATATTTTGTTACAGAGAAAAAGCTATATTTCTAATTTAATCAGTTTCCCCTATAAACAGCTGCAGAATGAAACAGTGTTCTTAAATCATTATTATTAGAATCAAGACACTGTGAAGTAAATTATAGTTTTAAATGTTCATTCACAAATGCAAGTAATACTAACAGTCACCAGAGGTGAGCTAGCAGTGGCACCAGTCCTAGGTAGCAATGTGCCAGGCCTCACCTCCTGATGACTGAGGCAGAAGGCTTCCTTGCCCCAGTGCCGGTACAGCTCGAGAATGCCAATCAAATCACCAATAGCAGTGATAATTGGCAAGCAGAGAACAGACTGGATACGAGTCCCTGATTCCAGTCCAGTACCTCTTGGAAAACGCTCATCCTGAAAAGTACAAAAGGAAAAAAGATATAAATTCCGTGAAAAAAACAACCCAAGTCATTATGTTATGACCCTTAGTTTTATCAGAAATTGGAATGAAACACAGAATTAATAATAAGCAGTCCTTTTCAAAGGACTACCTAATGATGATAATTATAAAATGCCTATATTTTTAGCAATATGGAACCTATACCTCAATAGTGCTTTAATGTTTCTTTATCCTTCTGTGGTACACATTTTATGAGTAAGTGGTGTATGATGATACAATAATAACAGAAATAATAAAAGTTGACATGCATTCATCATCATCTATGCTAGAACTAACCTAAGCCTTCACAGGTATGGGACAGTGAAAATCACTCCTCACGCAAACATTACGTGAAGAAATTATCTATATACAACTCTTCTACTTTTAAGATGAGAATAACATGAAGGTCTATGTTGACAATAGCCAATTTAAATTAAACTCAAAAACCTATACTAAGTATTCAAATATCTAATTATTATAGTTATTTATTTTAAGAATAGAAATTGCTTCTCTGACAAGTTCCTAGCTTAGCAAAATCACTTGAAGTATAGAGAAATAAAATGAATTAACACCATAAACACATTCTACTTATACAATTTCTACTATCTATACAAAGCTCATAGGCATGAATTATAACTTTCTATGAACCAAAAATAGTATGTATTTATACTTGTAATGTAGAAATGTTTTTGAAAACTTACATGTAGCACATTTTCAAATGAGAAACATGTTTAATGTTTAATCTTATTTTTCCTTATTACTCTTATACTCTTTCTCTCTTTTTCTATAAAGCTACTACCTGATTTGTTCAAAGTGATAGAGATTATTACTCGCAAAACCAAAATTAAAATTCAAGTTTCAAGACTCCAAGTTACTGTTTTTTCAGAGCAAATTCCTTATATCTATGTACTTGTTTGTAGTCACATTCAAAGCCTATGTTCCTTTAGTGACATTTCATTAAAATGTCTGCATGTATATACTGTAGTAGACTAACTGCATGAAGAGGTCCACTTTGTTATGTTTGTCTGTCTGTAGCCAAGTCCTTTTTAACTCCTTTCCAATACTTGAGTCTGAGCCTGCTCAGGTGATCTTCTCTGGCTAATGCGAGGGCAATAAAGTGAATGTGAGCTCAGACTTGAAAACCCCACCTTTTTACTTCTCTCGAGTCTTCCTACCATCAAAAGAACATGACCAGCTGGCCTTACTGCAGTGGAGTGAGACACATGGAGAGCTGAGGCCATCTCAGAGCATCTAGAACTAACTAATGGCCATCTGACTTCAGACCTCTGGGCAAACACAGCCAGATCAGCAGAAGAGGGCAGTCCTGGGACTCACGAGAAACAACCAGTGACCTCAGTATGACACCACTAAAATTCAGAGTAGTTTGTCATACAGCAACAACTAACTTATTCATGTACATCCTGACATGATGTACTGGGTCTCACTATGTAGTTCAGGTTCGCCTTGATCTTTCTATCTAGATCTGGCTGGCCTCAAATTCATGGCCGTCCTCCTGCCTCTTCAGTGCTTGGATTATAGGAATGTGCTACCACGTCCAGTAGAAAATGTGTATTTTTGTGTTTAATAATACTAGCATGTGTTGAAACGAGAACTCTTCAAATCCATTTCTTTAGTGAGTACACAAGACACAATTTTCTAAGTATAAACATTAATTCAAATACAAATTCATTTGTAGATCTGTAACTTGATTTAATACTATCATTTTTACAAAAATGCTTAACTATAAGGTCAAAATGATACATTATTTCTCCTAATTAAATACTTCAGGCTAGAGCTGTCTCAGAATCAAAACCTTTTACCCCAAGGATGTCTTCTACAAGCAATGTTTTCCTGGACTTGGCCACATAAGCAGAGATAGTAGTGCCCTGGGTTATGGGCCCCACAGGGATGAGCCTGGGTTTTCTTTCCTTTATTCCAGGTGGTGTGAACACACACAGACTCTAGGAAAGAAAATAAGAAAATGGAAAAAAAAGAGGGACGTGTTTTATAAACTATCCTGTATACAATACCAAATGGCTCCTGGATATTACTTAATACCCATGAAAACTCTGTGAACCAAATAAATGAGAACACATAGACAAGGAAAGGTAAATAATAAACTGAAGTATCTGTTAAACTCGCTTATATTTTTAATTTATGCAAAATACAGGTTTGAAATGTTCAAGGACTTGAATGAACAGGGACAGAAAAATTCCTGAAATAGACTCTTGTTTGATACCTAGAAATAGTAAAATGAAAAAAAACTGTATCCTTAAGACTGTTACACCATAAACTAAGGCAGGGCTCAGAGTCCCCTTAAACTTGACAAATATATCTGAAGACAGCATAGGTAAGCAGCTATAATTCTATAGTTATGCTTTTTGCTTCAATGAAAAATATTTCTTTTAAAGATCATCTTTTTTTAAGACTCAATCACTCATAGCTTTAACAGATATGCCATAAATTTGCACATTCAGGATACTCTGGAAAAATGTGCTCTTCTCTGTGCAAAACTGTGATACTCTTATGCTCTTTCTTTCTCAAATGATGGAATGGGACAGCAGTATTTTTAAATAAATCTGTTTTCAAAAATATCAGTTATTTTGACAAAAATCCAATCATTTAAAAATTATTCTCAAGTAAGTCAAGAATTGCAGATCAAAACAAATCATCTAAGTTTGCAGGCAATGTTTTGACATAGTTGTATCAGGATACTTTACTCATTTTAAAAATATTAAGCATCACATAAATGTTCTCTATATTTCACTTTACTTTTATGTTAAATGAGATTGCTATAACTTAGAAGTTAATGACTTCAAAGTGATAAATCTCAGATAACTCTCTTAGCACACATATATTCCTATGAATACTTGCCATTTACCAACATAGATCTAGGATGAGACAGTGAGTCAAAAGCCTCTATATCAGATAAATAATTTTCAAGCTTTGTAACATCAGAGAACTCCTTCTTCAAATACTTTACCATCACAGGCAAATGAGCCCTAAGAGGCTAAGCTCCATGCCAAGGTCAATGAGGAGGAGCTAGGAGTAAAAGGGAGCACTAGCTTAACCCTGCCATCTTTAAATAAATCACCATTATAAGGGACTAGAAACTAAATTCAAAACATATTTGTTCCAAGTGGGTCCTCACAAGATTGTGCTTAAGTAGTATCTACTATTAAGCACAATGCATGTGGAAAATATACCTAAGTGGTTCTTCTAGAAAGGATTAAACCTGATACAGTATGTTTAAGTCCTAGGTATACGCTTAAAAATAAAAATGCGTGTAGGATGATAAATGATAGCTGCATCTTATTTTTTTAGAATGCCAGAAATCAGTGCCACATTTTATTTTTGACACTGCTTTTAAAGTCTCTGTACTTCTGTTATGTACCAATATGCATATGGCATAGAAGACTCTCACTAGATATGGTATTCATCACTGGCTGGATGTAAGTCAGGTAGTGCCCTTTCTTACAACTAAGAGAAAGACAGAAAAATGATTCAAGAACAGGAAGAAGAGATGACTGCAAGAAAAACACTAAAGGTAATGTTATATTTAGCTTGAAGAAAAACCAGAACGGGGCTGGGGATAGCCCAGTGTTACTGCTGCCTGCCTCACAAGCACAGGGTCCCAAGTTCAATCCCTGGTACTACAGACAACACAAAACAAAACAGAATGACAATTATTTTCTCAGAATATGAGAAAGTCATAAAGAGGATGCTGAGCAACTGTTCTTTTTCTCTATCAAAGACAGAACTGCAAGATATGAACTTAAAATGAATTGATTGGTTTAGATAATTCTGTACAAAGAATATCCTCTGAATGATAATGGAACGTACACTCTGGTGCAAGTTTCCAACAGTAGGCTTGCATTCTCTCTCTTTTCTTTTCTTTTCTTTTTTTTTGGGGGGGGTCATAGTTATTAGCTATTTGTCTGAAGATACACAATGCTCATCTTTGGAGGATAACCTACTCATCAGCCCTTTAAGACCAAATTTAGTTATATCTTCAAGTTATATTTGTCTTCATACTTCAATAATGATTTATCTCATGCATTTCTATATTATTATTTTTGTGGGGAGGGTGCCAGGAATCGAACTGAAGACTTGTGCTTGCAAGGCAGGCAACGGCACTGAGCTAAATCCCTGGCACCTACATTTCTATATTATTAATGATCATTTATATGATATTATGAAACACATACTGCTTCCTACATAGGTTTCTATATTAGGTACAAGAAACTGATGAGCAAATGCTGCACCCAGGTTGCATGGAAAATCATTCTATAGAGTAGGCTTGCTGAAAATAAAGAATTTAGAAAATTTTCAATCATTTCCTGAATCTGAAAAACTTCTCCAGGCAGATAAATAATTATTAAAAAGTAAGTAATTTTTTTCTCTTAAATTCTTTTCCTAGTACATTTTAGGTATACAATACAAAAGTAAGTAATTCTCTACAGTGAGAACTACCTACTTGCTTTACTAATGAGTTCATGATTTTCCTTATATATTCGTGAAATAGAAATGTTTCTCTTGAGACCTGTCGGTGACTACTAACAAAATATTGAAAACATCATGATATCAAAGTCAAAGGCTCAAGCAGAAAAGAAAATCAACCTCAGAACAAATACCTGTCTCTGACATGTGTCTGCAGTGGCATTTTTCTCTGCTCTATATTAGTGATTACCTACTTTTTTGCTCTCAGTATACTCGACCTCTTCTAAAGCTCCTTTCCTTTCTTATTGAGGAAGGATCACTGCTTTGAATTACTGTTTTATAAAAGCGTGATCTTTATGATTTTTGTAGTTGAGTAATAATATAAGTAGGTGCTATTATACAGAATTGCCAAATCAGGGCTTGAATCTTCCACATATTGAGGGATAGGGAAAAGTTGGGTTAAACCTGCCTTTATTTATTCCACAGTAATAGTCCAATGGTGAGTCGTATCTTACACTGAATCTTCAGGTATATATGGGTGCAGTTTTGAACTCTCAGTTCTCACTGGGCACTCGTATATCACAATGTTTTAATTACTCTAAGTGTATAATATATTTATGATTTGGCTACACAAGTCTTAGTTCTGAATACTTCAAAATAATTTTAATTTATTTTGTATGTACACAGTTTGTATTTTTCATTCATGGACAGTCTCCATTAATGAATTAATGTAAAGGAAACAGAAATTTAATTTTTTAAAAGCAAGCAATATAATTATTGTATCAAGGATTTGACCAGGGTAGTTAGATCAGTAAGATAACAGAAAATATTATATTCATTATTTTCATAGAAGGATAAATGAAAACACCAGACAATAATTTGTAAATTGTTAGTGCTCCTGTATATGTATTATCTATAAGAACCACTGATAAATCAAGTGTTACAAACACTGCACCCTAATTATGTGTAAATTTATATTTATTAGCAAAACATTTTTTAGAGACTAGAGATAAATACTACACCTAGCAACAAGGAAAATATCTGAATCCCCTCTGTCTTTTATAGAGAAGAAATCAGCTGCCCTCAGGTTTCAGCATGAGGGAGCGGTGCTGCTATTCCTGAGTACTGCAGGGCTCTTGGGGTGATCTGACTGTGACTCCCTTTATTATCCCCAAAGTAAGACAGAAAATCAATCCGAATGCCAAGAAAGGCTATGAAGAGAATTACCCATTTTTTCAAAGAAATTCATTATAAATTAATCAAATATATATGGTAATAGCAAATTTTACATGTATTTTTTAAATAATTAAAACTACAAGATTGGTGGTAGAGGCCACAACTAATGGGTAGGATTCACTGAAAAGGAAAAATATCATTCAAATTATAAGGGTTTGAGAGATATAAATGAATTTTGTGGAAAACGAAGAAGAAAATAGACATACTTAAAAAATATGAAATGGAAAAATCTGATCTACTAGTGTCAAATAAATAGATAATAGATAAGACTATTTTGCTTGATAAAAACATAGCTTGTCTTTTTGACATATATAATTCAAAGATCACTTTATTCTTAAAACTTCATTTTAATGGTAAGACTTCCACTCACAACCAATTAAATTTTAGAAGTACTTGCTAGAAAAAGAAAAAAAAAGCTGTTATTTTCTTACAAGACACTAGATGGCACTGGATAGCAAATTTAGATCTCTATAGAAGAAAGCGTGAGCAACTAGCAACCTATATTGACCCAGATAGAACTTGAAAGAAACCTGCTAGAGTCCATTATGCAATTGGAAGTCACACAATTAATACAAACTACCAGCACCAAGTACAAAAACTGAAATATTATTAGAAAACTTTAATGTATATGTACTAAAGATGAAACTTGGATTCCACTCTTATTATTTTCCCCCAATTTGTACCTCAAACGGCAGAACTGGTTAAAATATATTCTTCCCAGTTTGGGGGTAATCCAAAGCATTGAATATGAAGGGGGAAATTCCACATCTTTAAAAGAGGTAATTTATCAGGGCAGGAAAGCACAGCTGATCGTTGAGGAAAGCATACAAGTTCGAATGGGAAGGGCCAGAGATGTGGCTCAGTGGTACTACACGTGCTTGGCAAGTGTGAGGTCCTAAATTCAATGCCAGGTGCCAGAAGGAAAAAAAAAAACAAAACAAAAAAAAAACAGTGGAATGGGAGCCTACAGAATCAAATGCAAAGAAAGTCTTGGTTTTTCACTAGCCACATAAAGCTGAGCAGACATTTAACCATATTAGATACATTGGTTACTCGTTACTGAAATGAAAAGACTAGATCACTTTGAAGTGTCTCTTTTAGCTAATATTCTATGAATTTAGGGGGTTTATAACCACCTAGTTGCTCATGTTTACAAATAAAATAAAAGCAAACAACTATTTAACCAAACCTGTAAGTTTTGGAAAAGTTATTATAAAAATCAATGTATGAAAAGCTATTTGTGGTCTAACTTTGGAATCGTAATTTTAAAGTGTAATTAGACTCC